CGGATTCCCAGTTTAGTTCGAGGTCAGAAATCATCGTACCTGATCGTGGAGTGAAGTCCTCTACTTATGGGTGGTAGTCCTGCTAATCTCGCGACGGTTACACCCGCTAATCTCGGGACCGTCGGTTACACCCGGTAATCCCGGGACCGACGGTTATACCCGATAATCACGCCGCTGACAGCAGCTCACATCGGCCCCCACCGAGCTTCCCGGTAGGTCGGACCTCGGCCAGCTTCACCTCGGCCCTCATACTTAGCATCTGTCAACGCTAGTGGTGGTGATGTCGGCCGTCCGAGCTGGACATGACTCATGAGTCATCTTGGAGCACCAATAGGGGTCCTCCACGTGTCCAGGGTATTCTCTTCCCCAAACAATAGGGTTTGACTGGCCACCCAAATGCATGGATAATTTGATCGGATTTAGGTTCGGGGGTCTTTCGTATATGGGAAAGGTATTAGCACCCCACAACACTCGTTCAATGAACGATAATTTATTTCTTAATATTATTTTCATAAGATAAATAAAGAACAAATAATTATGAGTGACTTAAAGCCATTAGACAATTTTAGTTATTTTTTGAAATATCATAAATACTTTAAAAGTCATGAGTTTTTTTTTGTTCTAGGGAATGCCTTTTTAAAAAAATTCTCTTAATTGATAAGCATTTTTAAAAGATGCGTAAAAACAATTATTTCTTTACAAAAGGGATAAACCATATTTAAAAAAACACACACACATTTTTTCCTCCGGAAAAAAAATTAAAAATCAAATATCGGCCTCCCAAGATATTGATTTTTACCCTCAAGAAATCCAAGAACATTAACCTCCCAAAAATTTCAAGATTCCATCGTTGGAAAATTTTTCTTTTAGAAAAATAAATGTATTTTTTTTAAATTATCATTCTAACCAAATTTGTGCCCCTAATAATCTACATAATCTACACAAGAGCATAATTGGATAAAATTAATACCAAAAAAAAGTGACCAAATATAAACATTATATGATACAAATGAATTAACACAA